GAAAATGGGAGGGAGGAGCAGGGTGTGTTTGGGGGAAGGGATTTGTACATGTATCAGCCTTTCTTACTGGTTCAAGTATATTGTTGATGCAAGATTCATGATGCTGTGCCAGGTTGCTAAGTGTGTTCTCAAAGTGTTGTTTCTCTTACTTTGTTGTTCTCACTGTTGGACATTGAAGTGTGGTAGATAAGAGGCATGTGGAGTAAGTAGGTTCTGTTTATTTTATTAAGTTGTGATGTTTACAACTGGAACTAAGTTCCTGTACCTCTGTGAAGGAAGCCTTTGCTGATGAACAGGTGTGCTGTGGTAATAGGTCTTTTTTCAGTGCAGCTTTAAACATTCCTGATGTGGGCTGTTTTGGTACCCAGGACTTCTTGGCCATTTGACCTTTAATGTTTTTGAATGCTTGCTAGTGTGAGAGAGATCCCAGTAGTGTCCTGAGTTTCCCATGCCGATGGATTTCCTGTTGATCAAATTAGTTAAGTCATCATCTGAACCTCCTGTTCAGTCTGGTTGTCTGCTCGTCTGTCTCTTGTTCCTCCCCTATTCTGTTTCTGAAATGCTTCTCACTGGCTGTGTTCTGGCAGAATGCTGGATCCTTAATTGTGGCCCAGTACATCTGAACATCCAGCTGAACTTGAGTTGGAATGGGTTTGTCATCTTGCAGATGAAACACAGACATTCTCAGGGTGATGGGACATCAGGGCAGCTCTGACTGTCTGGTAACTGCAGTGGCTTTTGCTGGGCTGGCTCACGTGTTGCTTGCTCTCTGGTATGCCTGTTCTTTCTCCATGGCATGTTTCCACGTGCATGGAGCTGTGGAAACATGCCATGGAACAGCTGTGCCTGCTGAGGGGTTTTGTACTAGCAAGAGCTCATGGGCAATATGTCTTCTCTATTTAGGACCCAAAGAATCTTTGGCTTTGCTAAAGGAGTCTTGGCTACATACGCTCCTTGATAATATGCTGAGAAAGCACAGATTAGAAGAGATAATTGCAGGTTGAATTTAAAGACAAACCCAAAGAGATCCAATTGTAATTAGAAGTTCACAGGAATGTGTTTTAATCCCTGCATAGCTGTTGGTATTTCTGTAGTAAGAGTAGCATAAATTGCCATATTTATAATTTTGCAGATTACTGTGGTGACACATGCCACAGGAATTTGCTTTCAAAGCCCTTCCAGTCCTCTCTCTGTATAGGAATTGCTCACAGTTTCTAAAGAGTGCTTTTATTTTTCTGCTTGTTGAATGTCAACACAAAATTAAGATGTGTATGTTTTCCTCATTGTCTCCTTTAAAAAGAGGATACTTCTAGAAAATAATTTGATATTGGTCAGAGATTGACCAGTTTTAAATGTCAGCAGTGAAACTCTGGAGTTTCTGTGTATCTACATATTCAGAAATTTTTAGGAAAAAATTAAAATGGGGAAAAGTAAGTACTACTGAGATTTCAGGATTTTTTACAAAAGAAAAACGGATGTAGAAGTAGTATCTACTACAGTTGATATAGTTTTATTTATTTAGCTGCTTGTTGTTGTTGTGATTAGAAATATAACAGTTCCAGGATATAGAATGGACCATGTTTCTGATAGCGAAGGATAAAAATAATGCATATTGGTATAGGATCAGATACATTTCTCAGTTGAAATTGAGGAGAATTTACAGTGTGCAAAATGTCCTTACAGAAGTTGCTGTCTGCCAGAGGTTTATCTGCAGCTAGTGTAGAGCATTTTGTTTGTAGCAACTGCTAGTGATGAGGGCTCTGTTGAATGCATCTTCCAAGAACTGTTCCCTAAGGAGGGTGCTGTCCCTGGTGCAATTTGTTAGAAGTTCATTGCAAGAGATGATGTGCTTATTCTCAAATTATGAAACTTTTTGAGTACCTAATTGCTCTTCTTGAGTCTCTTGTATTTGTCCACTAGTCAGTATGAGAGGAAAAATACCTTCAATCTTCCTGAAGTTTTATTATAAAAAATATAGTTTTAACAACAGTATTGCTATGTTAGAAGTTAATATTGCAATAAGTGGGGGAAGACCATTTCTTTCCCTTTTACTTCCAAAGAGAGATAAGGTGGAGAGCATAGAAATATTGACAGAAAGTGTTGGTCTGTTCTGACTCAAGCCTTGGTTAATCATAAGTAGTTATTGTTAAGCAATGGCTTTCCAATGACAAAAGGTTTTGAGTATGAGAGAGGGTACAGATGTGCCAAAAGTCCCAGGTTAAAAGCAAGCACTAGTATCCACAAAAAGCTGTGGAAGCAGAAGGGAAAGGAATTGACATACAGGTTCACATGCTTTAGCAGATGCCTGTACTGGTTTCTGTTACCTTGGTTAAACTCCTTAGTTGAGATTTTATTCCATAATTTTACCATGTTTCAGTTTTTTCTTGCTGTTTCATAGAGCCTTGGATTCAGATTACATAATTTACTGCGTTGCCAACTTTTTAGTGTTCTTTGTTCTGGATGATCCCATTAGAGAATTATTAAGAAATCAATTATTTAATCACTTCTGGGTATTTGTAATGGAGGACAGTGCAAGATCTCTCAATTAAAAATCAAGAGATTAAAAAAGTAATAGAAATTTAACAAATACTTATTCCTCAGATATGATCAGTATGCTGTTCTTAAAAATTGATTGCTTTTTCAGTGCTCACAGCAGTTTGTGAGGTCACATTTGACTGATTCTCAGCATAAACAGTGTCTGTTCCTGGTTTCAACGTGCAGATGGAAGATGCACAAAGTATTTGCAAGTTTGTTGCAGATTGTCACAATTCTGACAGACTTCACTTAGACCCCAGATTGTATTTGGAAGGCTGAGGCCATTAGCAAAGAAAATGAGCAAGTTGCTTTCTTGAGCATGCCTGTCTCTTCACAAAAGCCTCTTAATTTTCTGTGCAGCCTCCTGACTAAGACCAGCTTAGTAGCTGAAAGGATTTGATTAGTTACCAGCAGTTACAAACTGGTAGTGAATAATTGTTATGTAGTTGTGGAACCTGGTTGAGTTCTATTTTATGTGTGGGTTTTCATTAGGTTCAGAAGACTTGAGTATAAAAGGTGTGTTCAAGTGGCTCAAAAAGGATGTTGAATTTCTTTGAATCATGCTTTCCCTCACTCTGCCTGGCTTGTTCTCCTGCCATGTCTTGCTGGCAGGAGTTGCATTCAAAGAAGGTTCATCACCGGTTTGCTCTTGCTGTACTAAAGCATGGAGTGCTGTGTTGGTGCATCAGAGCCCATCAGCAATTTTCCTAGGTTTCTACTCCAGTTTGGGCCATGGCATATTTCCAGTACTTTCAGACATCCATGATTCACCAGTTCTCTGAAACTGTAAAAGCAATATTAATGTATTTTTTGCCCTTGTTCTGAAGTAACTACACAGTTCTTTGTCTAATTTGCTTCTGCAGTATCACTCAGTTTTGCATTCCAAAAAGTAGTTTTTGAAGATTGCATTTAGCATATACTAACAATTTTTTTTTCTTTATACTTGCTGTTGTACTCCCTTTTAAACCAAATCTGCAAAAAGAGAAATATTTTAAAACCAGGACAACATCAAAGTATTGAGTCATGTAGAAATCAAAAAAACAGCCCACCTTCGATTAGATGTGAATTGAAATTAGAAATAGCTTTGTATACCTTTGGCTCTAAATCATGAGATTATAGACCCATTTGATACATGGGAGTAACAATGCCTCACCCAGAATGTTGTGGAACAATACTCAGTACCTCACAGAATGCTGCCCTATTTCAGCCTTCACACGGGAGTCTGTTTTACTGCTCTTGCACTGGTTTTTAATTTGTAGGCCTCTTATCAATGTCTTAAATTGATAGAGAATGTGGAAAAATTGAAAGAAATAATTAAAAATTATTGGTGTTGACACAAGGGTGGAAAAGGGTTCTTTAAACTGTGTATGAGTCAATAACTAAAAAAAGGGTGATGAAGAGGGATGAAGGCAGTGTAACTTGATAGAGTGCTGCTCTCCAAGCTCCACGATAGTCATGAATGTTTGTACATAGAATTAAGTTTGGAAAAGATTTTGGGAGTGTGTGTGATAAATCTAATCTCTCTTAGGTCTGCAGTGGGGGAAGGCAGCACTTGAATTATTTTGGGATGAGAGCTCAATTAGAACAAAAATGTGGCCCTTCGGCCTCATTCCCTGACTGTATGTGGAATGCTTCTGTGGGGTGACTCCCAGACCCTAAACCAAAGTAGCTTTTTGCTGACCCCTTTTGTGTTATGAACACACTTCAGTCAACAGTTTTGTGATTTGAGAAGAATTCAGTTTAAGCTATCTCATCAGACAGCTTGAGACCATTTTTCCTGCTGCTGACCGCTTGGGTGACATTAAAGGAAGTATATTTGATAATGTCTTATACTGTTGTTAGTGAAAGTTGGTATTTATGCCATCTGGGTTTCTGGGAAAAATCTTTTACCTTTGAAAGGTAGCTTTATTTTAATTCTACTTGAGTGTTCAGGTATGAATACCTAATAGGCACTGCTTTTGTTGAGAGCTTGGAAACAGTTATCCATCATTGTGTTTTTCCTTTAGCATCTTAAATTATTTAGGAGCTTCTTAATTGCAGTAGTTTTATGAGGCACTTAAATACAGAAGTCTCAGTTTGTTTTAATTTTTTATTTCAAAATTGATTCAAGTGTCTCTAAATATTTTTTGTGCTCTGTGTACAGGCAAAGATTGATGTTAGAAAGCATAAAATATCAATGGATGCAGTTCTACTTCTCACATATATAGTGTTTCCTTCTGGGTCAGATAGTTGAAACAAGCAGCACAAAGGTGAAAACATGTGGAATGTATGGCCTTTAAAAAAACCCTACATTCATTCATTAAAAATAGTCTTTTTTTTCCACTGCTAAATAATTTATTCAGTGTCTTCAAATAAGAAAAAATTTCCATTGCAGTATTTGTCATATACACCCAGATTTTGTGATAGTGTCTTCACAGACCTGTCTGAGAGCAAGATGCTCTCTTATTTGGCAGAATGAAGAACTGCACTTAGCATTTATAATTTTGCTTAATAAGCACAGCTGGAGTTCTGTTCACTGCCATGAGAGATTGGCAGGACTTTCAGCCATCTGAAACATGATGTAAGTCTGTATTCCCGAAGAGTCAGAAGGCAAAGCTAGGCTTTTTGATGAACAGAGTTACTTATACCAGAACTCATCTATTCACTGGATGACCCCATATTTTTTTCTGCTTTTGTTTTGTTGTCCATTTTGTCACAAGCTGGCTAATTATGACTTTGGTCAGCTTTGGGAGTTTTGAAGCTCTCTCCTTTCGGGGTCAGTGTAGCTTTAATCATAGTCTGGTGAATTCAGCAGATAGCTCTTCTAATTTCCCATAAATTAGTACTGTGATTCAGGCACCTGACTTCATCCTGGGTGGTTAATGCAGCCTCTCCTCAGTGGGCACACACATTCTCTTCACTCTGTATATCACGTTGTAATCAGAAGGGTGAGACTACGAGAGAGAGATCATTAGAAGATGGCAGGGCAGGCAAGGAAGTAAGTTTTTAAACGGAACCCGCAAGTTTAATGTAATAATAATTAAAAAAGCACAAAGTTCAAGGTATGTTATCTCTACTCTGTGAGGCCAGTCTCAGAGAGCTGGAAGCTGTCGATATGCTGTCCATTGATGCGGATCTCCTTGTCAGTCCTTTTTGGACTATTTGAGTCAGGTGCAGCTGGGAGCTCAGGAATAGTCTTGTCAAAATTCTCCATCTTGGTCTGGTATTCGCCTTTGGCATTACGGGCCAGCAGGGAGGCGAAGCGGTGGTACACCAGGATCTCTGATGGGAGGTAGGATGTTCTCCTCTGACATGTTTCTCCTGTGCCCTCCTGCACAGCTGACAGGAAAACGACCAGCTCAAAGTGGTGAGGAGCTTCTCTTTGAAGGAGAGCAGCCAGCGGGCTGGATGCCGTGATGCAGTGGTAGTAGGTCAGTGGGAAAATGAAAAAAGGACACTCATCTGCAGTGACGCTGTCCAGGTGAAAGTCAATGCTAGTTTGGTGCAGCTGCCCACTCTCTTGTTCTTGGTAAAGTATAGCAGAGATCTGGACACTGGTCAGGGGGCTGGAGCGAGTGTTGGCCACCTGGAACATGAGGTGTGGCTTGCCCTCGCTGTGTGTGACCACGGCGGAGCGCGAGAAGCGGATGGAGAGTGCCCGGTTCTTTGGGCGGGCAATCTTGGCCACGAAAGCACCTGGGGCATGGGAAAGAGCAAACTCAGTGTGAGCACAGGGCCTGGGCTGGCTCCCTGCAGGTTTCTAGGGAGAAGAAACAGACTGAGGCTGGAAAGACAGTCTTTGAAAACTGTTTGGTTGGCGTCATACTAACCTGCTTTTGTTCAGAAAAGTACAGCATTCCTAAAATACTTATTTTTCTAAATTATGTTCACTTATTAATATTTGGAAGTTAACTGTAGCTGTAAGGAGGCTGTCAATTTGTCCCAACTTACTGTAATTGGTAATAGGAGCTGATCTTGCTAAGTTATATTGTAGAAGCTCTTTCTAATACACAGTAAACTAGCCTGTGTATTTTCAAAGTATTTTGTTTTCAAAGTATTTTGATTGCTTTTAAACATGAAGAATATTTTAAATAACTTAAAATAACTCAAAATGGCTGTGACATTGCAAAAACTTTCATTGCATTGGGTACTGAGGAATACATAAACACTGAGTTAAAGATCAATGAAGATAGCTCAGCTAGACAAAAGTGTACCTTAAAAATCAAAACAAATTGACGTTAAATATTGTAATGATATGCTAATAGCTGAGAGAGAGAATGGTACAAGAAATAAATGATTGAGAGTGATATGTAGTGATCCGCCACAAGTATTTTCCAATTAATGGTGAAATTCTTAAGTCCAGATATTGATAACACCTAATTTGTCTTTTATTAATTAAAGGTGTTTAACTTTTAGTACTACATAGCCGAAATCTTGTCATCCTTGAGTGGCTACCTTAATTGTTCTTTCATATACCCAAGTGAACAGTATTTCTAGCTCTATTCTTAAATCCAGCTGTTTTGCCTGTTGTGTGTAAAGATGGAGTAGGAGGGATTACCTGTGAGGAAGGCTTCTAGCATGAGCCCCAGGACCATCTGGATTGCCAGCAGTGCAATGGCACTGGGACAGTCCCCACTCGGGAACATGGTGCCGTAGCCAATCGTGAGTTGTGTCTCCAGCGAGAAGGAGAAGGCAGCTGTAAAACTGGTGATGTACTTGACACATATAGTGTGGTTGTCAGGTGGAGCATCGTGGTCCAGCTCCAGGTCCCCATTCATCTCAGCCAGCAGATACCAGAGCACTGCAAACACCAGCCAGTGAATGACAAAGGAAGCTGAGAAGACGAGCATCATCCACCTCCAGCGCATGTCCATGAGTATCCCCCACACGTCTCGGAGGTATGCCACACCTCTGCCTTGGGCACCAGCCATCTGGAACGTGCTGTGTCCATCCTTGGTCACCAGCCTCAGGTATCTCTGAGTCAGGAGGGGAGCGCTGGATTTGGTGTTATTGCCCTCTGTTGTATCTGTCGTCATCTTCTAGCAAGGAGAAGAAAGGAGAAAAAGTGATACAATGCCACGTATTTGTATTTTGCCTAATGTTCACAGCTTCTGACACATCAGCAGGGGTAGAAATACTGCAGCCAACAAAGGAGGGCTTATACATTGCAATCCAGAGAAGATTAAGTCAGGAGCCTGGAGAGGAATTTACCACTGTTTGTGGTAATACTTTGCTAGAAAAGATTAGGTTTAAAAATCTGACTACTGCTCAAATTCTCCCTGCTTAGCTGTTTAAATATAAATTTCATACTTTACCTTCCTAAATTTACATTGGAGTCACATGCTTTAATTCTTTTGGGGTGAGTAGGATGGGATTAGGCATACTGTGTATGGAAAGAAACTTGAGTTTTGCTGATTATATCAGATTTTGTAACTTGTTTTGAACATGGTATAATAATTTACTGATACTATTATGAATACTATTAATAATAATATAGTGCTAAGGAAAGGATGTTTATTATATTATTTCTGTAATGTATTTATGCATTTTAGGGGAATGCTGTACTACAGCTACTAGCCCTTTCTGACTCTTCTAGCTCAAGAGTTATCTCCTGTCTGCACCCACCATGTCCAGTTTAACAGAATTAGAGTATTCAGGGCAGAGCTCCTTCTGGGAATCTGAGGCTGTTTATGTAAGGATCAGGTAAAAAGAGGGCAGGAGAGCAGTTCAGAAAATACACTGTGACATAATTTCCAGTCTAGTCTGCCTGAGCAGTGCAATTTTTACTAGTGACCAAGTAAAATAGGACAGCAAGCCTGTGAGAATTAAGGTAGAATTGCAGATATGGGAAGCAAAATGGATATCTATAGGTATTTGGCATATCAGGCTCCTTTGTTTGCTTTTGAACCTCAAAGCTTGTGGAATTTGCCAGAGCTGGTAAATGTCTTTTGAAAAGACAGTGGTCACTCAAATCCATATGTTTTATAAGTACTGTTTGTTTAAAGTTCACCTGTGGCAGATTAAAGTTAAGTACAGGTTTGTGTAAAATAGAGACTTCATGAGGCTACAACCTGTTTAAAGACTTTGTTTAAAGTTCACCTGGGGCAGATTTAAGTACAGGTTTGTGTAAAATAGAGACTTTATGAGGCTACAACCTGTTTAAAGAAGGTTGTGAGGAAGCTTTTTTGTAGAACAGAGAATTAAACAATACCTGTGAATTCTGCAAATTATAATTATATATGATGTGTTTAGTCAGTTTTGGTTTCCTATCAATTTTGACTTTTCTTTGAACGATGGCTGTTTCAGTCTATTACATTTTTCATAGAGGAATTGGGTTTTTCCCTTGCAACAGTGCCATCTTAGTTTTCTCTTGAAATGCATTAGAAGTAAGGATTCTGAAATTCAGAATCAATTTATGATAGGTGAAAATTTGTCTTGGTATCTTTGATCCCATAAACCAGCAGTTTACATGACTGTTTGCTTAATCTCCGTCCCAATTTTAGTAACTACAGAAGAATCTCTTTTGCTTTTACTTGTGTTAAATGCCTACCCAGATATGAAGATTAGCTAAATAGTCAGTGTCATCTCAATTTTATTTTTTCTCAAATCCATCCAGTTATTACTTCTGTCCATGCTGTAGTCAGAAGGAGATAAAGTAGATGATGGCCTGAGTGGAATTTGGTGGTTTTCCCCTTATTTTCAATTTTCCAGTTCACATCTCCCAGTAGGAATATTTTGAAATCATTCCCTGTGTCAGGGACTTCAGTGGACTTAGCGAGGTTCTCCTGGTGTATGGTACCAGGCTACTTTTCTTGGGGGATTTTGGTTGTAGTCCATCCAGTTTATAGCATGACCCCCACCTTTACTGAGTTGGCTCTTCAGTCTGCAGAGCTCCCTGAATGGCAGTTGTCACTTTGCTGTACAGTAATTCTATGTATTTCAGTAATCCAATGATTAGTGACTTGTCTGTAGAGCACAGTCCTTGTGTTAAGATTTAGACGAGCCCTTCTGGAGGCCTTGAAGGAGCTGGAAAATGGGCATCTCTGGGTGGGTATCTCTGGTGGGGGCCATGTTGAAAATGAGCTCTGAACAGTGCCTTGGTTTATCAGAGGAAGCAGTACTCAAAAGAAACAGTCCTTGTTTGAATAGAGGACACTTACAGAACAAAATGCCTCTGAGTGCATCGTGCATTCAAAACAAACCAGCAAACCAACAAAAAACCCAAAACAAAACATAACCAAAAGCCAAACTTGTGGTTTTCTGTAAATTCTTGTGGTAGTTTGAGGGCAGGATCTGCTTTGTAGACTCTAAGCAGTATGGGTTTACAGAACAAATAGATGTTGTGGAAATGGTTCTGATGCTGACTGATTGGTGACAGAAGCCTTTTTTGTGGTGTTACATACATTAAGAAAACAGGGAAAACATTCTTAAGATGGAACATTTTTTTTGGCTGTGCTTCAGATCTTCACGTGAGTGCTAAGGCTGTGTGTTTGTACACTACAGGCCTAGAGCAAATGCTGTCAGCATTGTAGGATCTCAGATTTGTTGATTAAGGAACTTCTGAAGGTGGTGATTAATCACTTAATGTTGTCTCAAACTCTGAAAAAAATCAGTCAGGTTCTTTGGGATTTTTTCAATGGGGGAGGATTGATTCCTGACAGATTTTGAAAGTACTTTCAAAGAGAACCTACATTAGCTCCCAGCAGCACATTTCAAAACAGTCTTGTGTCTCTGCTCCTTCAGACTCCCAAGCAGGTGAATTTGCCTTCCTAGTTTAACCAGGTTATGCACTGGTACAGTGCTCTCATTTTTCTAGTCTAAGACTGTTGAAAATGTTAGTTCTGTTTCAGCAGCAGGGATAGCATTGGAAATGTGTAAGTGTGAGTTGCAAAACCCCCTTTTTCAAGTGCTAGTGAAGGAATAAGAGCCACGAGTCTTAGCTTCTTGGAGTGAGAAAAACAGATAAGAACCTGCAAATAGACACCGAGAGCAGTGCAGCTGGGTGTGAGTAAAAGGCAAAGAAAACTGCCCCGTGGGAAATAGCTTACCCAGGTTGGAGGATCAGTCCTCTGTATTCTCAAAAGCAGAGGCAGCTTAAGAGCAGATGTGACTTTGAATTTAAAAAGTGTTAATGTCTTCTCTCTACTCCTTTCCTAGCCCATAGTAAAAAAATACAAATACCTTCTTTTCTTGTAGTGATAAATTAATGAAGTTACAAAGTATAATTTGGACCACCTGATTGAATCCCCTGCCTGGCATGGTCCTTGATGACCCCACATTAATCCCTATTTCAGTGTATGTTTTAGGAAGGACATTCAGCTTCGACTGGAGAAGAAAAATTCAGTGTATGTTGGAGAATACTTTTCTCTGCTATAACATACATGCAATGTTTCTTACCCAGGTTTGTCCAGTGATCTCTCTCAACGCCCTTTATGCTGTGTTATTCAGTGGGTTTTGCTTTTTCTGGTTCCTGACTTAGGCAACTGTTGATGAAGCTTTGGGTGTTTCTTGTACCTCCATTTCTCAGCTGATAGCCCCTGACTAGAAAGACAGGAACTGTCAGAAATGGCTTTTCTAAACCTCTGTTGGCATGCTGACCAGTCCCTTATCACACGTTTGCTGTGTGTAATCCTTCCTGTTCACCTTCCCTTGAAAGCTAAATTATCACCAACACCACTGTGTCAGTTGGTTCTTAGCTTTTTTTGGTTTTTAGTGTTTTTATCATCTTGTCCCTCATCCTGGCTTCTTTCTTTTATGCACTCCTCTAAGACCAATCAAGGTAGGGTGAGTACTAATTTTTTAAAAAATCACAGATTCCTTCTAGCAGTGGGACAGGTTCTAAACTGAGCTGGCTGGCTAATGATTTATGTGTGATAAAACCTTGCCTAACAGCTTTAGGATGTTGCTTGCATTTCTGAAATTCATGATCCAGGCTGTGGCTCTCCAGTGCTTTGCCTTTTTGATTAAGCTCTTCTTCCTTGTGTTGTAACAGCCTTTATTGCATTCCTGTTCCATGCCACCACATTGATTTCCTCTCCTTTCCTCTTGCTTAGCTTTTTCTTGCAGGGAAACTCACTGGCAGCACTGTCTTCATTTCCATTTGCCTTCTCTGTTGAAGGCATTCACAGTGACACTTCCAGCCTGTTCTCAACCTGATATACAGATACATCTGCAACCTTTTGAGGAGCCTGAGTGAAGAGTTGTGTTCAGGCAAGACCTCTGCAGTGTTGCCCTACTTGCTCAGCTTCTAGTCTTAATGAAGTCTGTTCTAATTGACCTTGGAAGGGATTAGAAATAGTTTATGCTGTGCTGCTTCATTCTGACAGGAAAGTGGTCTTGAGGACTTGCTATTTTCTGGGAGTGACTGCAAAAACTGCTTATAGCTGCAGCATCATTCCAAGATTTGCTGGAATCTGTGTGGTGGCATGCCCCTGTGGGGATGTGTACATTCCTTCTTTGCTTGGCCTGGCTTTGCATGATCATGTACAAGCTTCAGATTTAAACCTTGTCTGCTCTGAGCTGGGATTGTGCAGGTCTGTTGCTGCCTTTGCACTTTGCAACAAGAACAAAATAATATTATGATTTTTAAAGGCATTTTTAGTGCTATTAAAATGGCTATTTTGTGTGGTTTTATTTTTAGATTATTGTGTATTTTTTTAGACTGGCCACTCCTGGAGGTGCTCTGGCATTATTATTAGGAAATGAAGGTTTTTCAGTATGGATGAAATTACTGGATCATATAATTTACATTAGGGGACAGTCTTAGAAATGTAGGAAGTAACTCAGCTTGAGAAGCTGCATTGGAAAGCTTGTGCTTCTGTTGTGAGCTACATTAGCTACAAAACATATTTGTCCTTTTGGTTTTGTAGCTAATGCCTCATTGAGATGAATGGAAGTAGTTTGTGACAAAGTGTTACTTCTGAGCAGTGTGCAGAATTAAGATAAGCTTTCTGGACTTGTTACATTTATAAGTAGGTCTTGTTAAAATGGAAATTTGAATTTGTTGGCCCCAAGTTACTTTTTTCAAAGCAAGTGCCATAAAGGATAGGATGTGAGAGCTCATACTTTTGACTTTCTGTGACAGTTTATTACTAAATGCACTTTAAAGAAAGAGGTGGTAAAATGGGAGAGTATGTCTCCTTTTATAGTACAGAAAACAAGGCTGCTTATATACTTGATTTTGGGGAAGCTAAATAGTGCTTCATTTTATATATAATGTATTTTCACATAAGTACTCTGAACACTAA